TTTGACTTCGGCTTTGACTTCGGCTTTGACTTCGGCTTTGACTTCGGCTTTGACTTCGGCTTTGACTTCGGCTTTGACTTCGGCTTTGACTTCGGCTTTGACTTCGGCTTTGACCTCGGCTTTGACTTCGACTTTGACTTCGGCTTTGACTTCGGCTTTGACTTCGGCTTTGACTTCGGCTTTGACTTCGGCTTTGACTTCGTCTTTGACTTCGGCTTTGACTTCGGCTTTGACTTCGGCTTTGACTTCGGCTTTGACTTCGTCTTTGACTTCGGTTTTGACTTCCCTTTGAGTTCCCTTTGACTTCGCCCTTGAGTTCCCTTGGACTTCGCCCTTGACTTCCCTTTGACTTCGGCTTTGACTTCGGCTTTGACTTCGGCTTTGACTTCCCTTTGACTTCGGCTTTGACTTCGGCTTTGACTTCGGCTTTGACTTCGGCTTTGACTTCGGCTTTGACTTCGGCTTTGGCTTCGCCCTTGACTTCCCTTTGACTTCGGCTTTGACTTCGGCTTTGACTTCCCTTTGACTTCGCCCTTGACTTCCCTTTGACTTCGGCTTTGACTTCCCCCTTGACTTCCCTTTGACTTCGGCTTTGACTTTTGTTTGAGTTCCCTTTGACTTCGCCCTTGACTTCCAATTGACTTTGCCCTTGACTTCCCTTTGACTTCGGCTTTGACTTCGGCTTTGACTTTGGATTTGACTTCGGCTTTGACTTCGGCTTTGACTTCCCTTTGACTTCGCCCTTGACTTCGGCTTTGACTTCGGCTTTGACTTCGGCTTTGACTTCGGCTTTGACTTCGCCCTTGACTTCCCTTTGACTTCGCCCTTGACTTCCCTTTGACTTCGGCTTTGACTTCGGCTTTGACTTTTGTTTGAGTTCCCTTTGACTTCGCCCTTGACTTCCAATTGACTTCGCCCTTGACTTCCCTTTGACTTCGGCTTTGGCTTCGGCTTTGACTTCGGCTTTGGCTTCGGCTTTGACTTCGGCTTTGACTTCGGATTTGACTTCCCTTTGAGTTCCCTTTGACTCGCCCTTGACTTCCCTTTGACTTCGGCTTTGACTTCGGCTTTGACTTCCCTTTGAGTTCCCTTTGACTTCGGCTTTGACTTCCCTTTGACTTCGCCCTTTGACTTCGGCTTTGACTTCCCTTTGACTTCGCCCGTGACTTCCCTTTGACTTCGGCTTTGACTTCGGCTTTGACTTCGGCTTTGACTTCCCTTTGACTTCGGCTTTGACTTCGGCTTTGACTTCGGCTTTGACTTCGGCTTTGACTTCGGCTTTGACTTCGGCTTTGACTTCGACTTTGACTTCCCTTTGGCTTCGCCCTTGACTTCCCCTTGATTTCGGCTTTGACTTCGGCTTTGACTTCGGCTTTGACTTCGGCTTTGACTTCCCTTTGACTTCGCCTGTGACTTCCCTTTGACTTCGGCTTTGACTTCGGCTTTGACTTCGGCTTTGACTTCCCTTTGACTTCCCTTTGACTTCGGCTTTGACTTCGGCTTTGACTTCGGCTTTGACTTCCGTTTGACTTCGCCCTTTGACTTCGGCTTTGACTTCCCTTTGACTTCGCCCTTGCTTTCCCTTTGACTTCGGCTTTGACATCGGCTTTGACTTCCCTTTGACTTCGACCTTGGTTTTCCTTTGACTTCGGCTTTGACTTCGGCTTTGACTCCGGCTTTGACTTCCCTTTG